TCACTTTAAGTTATTAAGTCATACCTCGTCATTATTACCACCTTCAGTAGTAAACAAGCATCCCCATGTCGTTGGCACAAATCTGAACGACAGCAGCTAAGTGCTCATAGCCAATGGAGCTAAAATTAATAAGGTAACATAAGTTGCAGGTCAAAAATTTTGTCATACAGAAATCATTCTTTTATTTCTAGCCTTTATGAAAATTTCTGTGCCATTACAAGAGAACGCTTCCTTCACTGTCTAGTTTTCTAATCAAATTTCTCTCTTTAACTCAACCTGCAAAATTCTAGTCGCATTTACTCGGATGCAGTGTTACGCAGGTATTTTGCTGATAAATTATTATGTAAATTCAGATAATTGGGCCACTAAAATGTTTTTCTGTCGACCTCCTGTTTTGAAATGCTGAACATCCATCTCACGTAATTTTTTAGGTCTTTTTTGTGTGATTTTCACTGACGTTTCATTTCACAAAAACGAAAAAATTATTTTATTGTTTGTCCTACTCTAAAGTAATAGTGAAAATCCTTCCGCGGAAAATGTTTGTGAGATGAATGCTTAACTTACTTTGGTTATGTTCAGAACCTACTACCCCAATTATTTTATGTGTAGTACGAGACACCCAAGAGTAACAAATATGTAAATGACAATAGACTCAAGGGAGTGCCTTAAATAAAGTTAGACATGTTTCATGTTCCTGTATTCTCTCCAGCGTTTTAGTTTAGACACAATGCAATTAGCACAGCAGCAATTACGTGAAAATTCTGAAAGTGCCGTCTCAAATCGCATTAAGAGCATACTTAAAAAATGTGTGACACGGTCATCTTGCCCAAATTACAGTTGCAATTACGACGGTAACTAAAAATATGTATTGCAGCAAGTTCCACTGGTCATCTGAGCAACAACGACAAAGACCGTCGCTTGCTAACGGAAGTAGCTTGCAGAGCTGTGAAAACATTGGCTAGTCGCTGAATGTCACAAAGATAAACGCGGTGAGAAATGAAGGCTGGTAGCTGAAGTAAATTTTAGAAGCCCTACCACAGGAGGATTTGAGCCATCCGAATACATGTCGCTGCCATCTGGAACGACGAAAGTTGTATTATGAACCTAAGTCGGAAGACTGAACTGCATTCTCCCTTTAAACTAATAATGGATAACAGTGTTCGCTACAACGTTTATCGCAGACTGTGGCAAATTCAGCCGTTAGATTCAGTGCCATGCACTTTTTAAATTTCTAATATTCGGATTTGTTCTTAAGGAATGGTTGGTGCTATAATGCTTTCTAATCGGTTGCTAACGTTTCGATCACACATCAGTAGCCTTATTTATAACAAAATTGGTGAAAAAATGTTTTAAAATAGTGAGTTACATGGTAAAACCAATTTTTCACGTGACTGAAATTGATTAATGAGGTATTCTTACAGCAACCTTGCCGCGCGCCAAAAACATCGAATCAAACGATTAAAAATGTACATATATCATTCCATCCAAAAGCAGTGAAATCTGTTTCGAGCGATGAGTTGGAAGCACTTATTTTAAGAAAGTATAATAACCATTTCTAAACAGCTTGCAACAGCATTGACTACGCATGGACTACAAGGAATACAAGGTGGAGAAACTTCTTAAGAAATACGGCGTTTTCGCTCTAACAAACATCATGGAAACAACAGCGGTGTTTGGAGTGCAGAGACTGGTTCAGCGCAAAGAACAATCAGTTAGTTATTTACTAGAACTTTATGAAGTCATGCTCGTCCAGACTGCATAGGCGCACAATGAAAAATGGTAAGTCAGAGCGCAAGAAAAGTCAGACAAATGGAAGGGCTGGGAAACAGATTAAGTAACCGACTAAAACAAACCATTTACTTGCGCAACTGTAGTAGGAGTGAGGTGTTTGCGTACCAGTGAACTGGACACACGAGCGAGTATGAGCAGAAAGACGGATCTACAAAAATCCAGCTTCTGCAGTTTGCCAAGTGCTCGTCTGTGTACTTCAGTGAAAATATTTTCATTTTTTGGACGTTAAAAATTAAAAGCACTTGAAAGGGATTCTTTCCATTGTCAAATTGGTAAAATTATATTGATACTCATATTATTCTCTGTTTGTATCTCAACAAGCATAATGTAAAAATTTTTTCTTGCTCATTTTGGAAATATATGTCTGGGAAACTCATTCTGCTGAGTATAGAACTTGCTATCGAAAGATATGGACTCTGGCTACCGCCGGGACAAATTTTCTTTCATCTCTCCGACATAGACGTATATCACTACGCGAAAAAGAAGCAGGATAATAAAGTTGTGTGGGCCTACTGTCCGCAGACATCGTTTTTAAAAATAAGGTATTCTTGGCTAATGGCACCGAATGAGCGTTGCACTCTAGTATTTGCTCTGGTATTTACATGAGAGACTATGTAAATCATGAAATTACACGGGAGACTCGTGCTTCAAAGGCTATAAACTGTTTTCCATTTTTTAGAAATAAATGTCAACAGAGGCTTCCAGTGCTTTTGAAGCTGTGTAGTCAGATTTTTCCCTGCAAATAAGCCTACTT